GTGCAACACAAATCGCTCATTTGCCCTCATGCATATGCGATTTGTCTCGAAGCGCTACGGCGTAAATATTTGTAATATAAATGATAGAGCAACACGCTCCTCGACTAAAAAAAGCTTATCTATAAATAATTGTGTCCCTGAACCGTTCACTGCTTAATCAGCATAGGTTGGTGGATGTTTCGGTTGAATGTGTACCATTTGGTGCGTGTTAAGGATGCTGGGACAGCTTGAAGGTTATAAATCGATTGCATTTCTTTTTCTCTAAAATACAGACGTTTATATAATGTTTCCTAGTCGATTCCAGAATTATTCACAGAAGTGATGAGATACTGTTCCATGAAGAAATCTTATGGAGCACTAATTAATTCATATACAATACTCACATGTAGAAGAAACATAGATTAATGTTGTATCAACGAACAGTTGTGCACATGTTTGCCTGAAGTTATCCGAGTTTTCGTTTTTTATTCTATAGCAAGCAACCTTCGCTGATAAAGGTAACAGTGGTTATGCGTCTTGTATTAAATCAATTATTTTCAGCAAATGCATCTATTTCCAATTCAAGATAAAAATCCGAAAGACAATGATATATAAGTTGTGTCGAAATTTTGGAACAAGGACTAATTGGTCATAATAGCATTTTTGTATTAAAGGAATAAACGGTTAAATTCCAAAAAAAAATCTGTGTTAAAAATATTTTGACCGAAGTTGATTATGCGTGTGAATCTCTAAAACCAAATTAGTTAAAACGCATCATTTTCTATCGCATATGAATATTCAAAATGTTTCACAAACGCAATGCGCCCATTACAATCGAATTTGATAATTATGAAAAAACAGACAAGAATTTTAATGACGTTGGATATGAATATATTCATTATGATTTGCTAGACAATTTCTTGATGTTTTAACAGCATTATAAAAACTTCGTTTAGTTTTTACCGCATGATCGGCACACATAAATTCGTCAATTGACTTTATCATATCGGTTAATGTATTCATGCTATCGCCGTTTTGAAACTCAACTTGATTTTGTCAATATTTTTGGGGAGGAAATATCCTATATATAGTCATCAAGCTGAGCAAACATTGTAGATCTTGGAATTGAAATATTCCTTTGGTTGATAAGTTATATACACATACGGATAATACAAGAAACCTTACCCTATATATAGATAGATAAATTTGTAAATCAATACGAGTGTAGGAAAACCTGATGACTGTTGTGATAACGTATTTATACTTGAAATGTTCATCAATATTCAAACGAAATCCAATAGGTATTCGATACCAATCAGCAGAGCGTGTTTCAAAGCCAAAGGGCTTTTGATATTTGCTTATCTTCAATTTACTCAGGCTTTGATGTAGAAGATAAATATAATCTTACTTGGGTTCTTTCCTTGGACAGGGATAGTACCATTCAAAAGAGTTTGGTTGGTCAGCACGAGGCTTGCCCCGACAAATACCCATGTCACATTATTTAAAAAATAGCAAGTTGTCATTTGTTGTGGAAGCCGTGCATCGCACCATCATTAATGTTCCCAGTGAAGTATGTTAGAAGAATTAATTCTTTAAAATTAAAACTGTAATGGCATTCGACTGTCTCTCTGAACGAATATGTTCTCGTTTAAAGAAACCTATGATTCAAGAAACCCAGTCTAGTTTTGCGTTTTTTCAGAAAAGATTTTTTATTATCTATTTTTTTTTTTTTTTTTAATTTTCTCTGAAACGTATCCGTGTTATTGCCATTGTTTATTTCTGATGGCGTGCACTGTAAGAAATACGCACGTGGAATGTAGGTCAGAGGGAAAACCATTTTGTTTTATGGACCATTTAAATATTTTCAGTTTGTTCATTCTTACACATAAAATCTACACATTACCATTCTAATATCTCACAAAAATATTCAAAACCGAAAAAACAACAATATAAATATCTCCCCTGATAGCGTTCTTGCATGAAATCATGTGATATATGCAAGTGTATTATAAAAACTAGAATACTCAGGAATCAAATTCTGTTAACATGAGATGAAATTTTCTTACCCTTGGCAGTTCATGCTGTATGCTCTGCACGGCATTATTGAATACACATTCAGATATTATCCCGGTATGACATGTCGCTAAACCTTCCCAAACATATATAAATAGCATCAGCTGAAATGCGATATTGCAACATGAACAAGAAAAGCAATGATTGATTATACTCCAGGGTACCACTCTATGGTTAAATATTAAGGGAGATTCAAGATATTCACCACGGATACCTCTTGTTTTGATAATAATTTTCTGGAGGATTGATATAATAAAACTCACATTTTAATGTTTTCACTCGATCATCTTTTTGACAAATTCATAACGTCTATGTTTTGATTTTATTTCTTGTGAATTTGAAATATTGATCGAATCTTAAAACTTGAAATTCAAAAGTTTACGATGATGCATCATTTTTGAATGTAATAGTCATACACATTACTAAGAAACTATCAAAAGAACATCCAGTACATAAATTGTGTCTTGAAAACTGATTAGGTTACACGACAGGCTAGTGATTGGTTCTACTTTTATGACTTCTTCTGCATTGTGACGTCAAAAACAATTTATTTTGTGAAATCTTTAGGAATTTTTTCTTCTTTTTTAAGGTATCTGGGGGTTTTTTTCACCGAAATTCATATTCGTTGCGAATCGGAGATTTTCAGATTATGACAATATTTCGATGTCATTCATATCTGATTAAAACGGAACTAACAAATTGCATTTTCCAGATTGCCTTTCGGGGATACAAGAAAGCTGAAGCTTTTGTTCGATATAAAATTAATATGTTTTAGCCTTTTTGAATCCTTGAATTATGAAAACTGTACAACGATTTTTTTTTTTTTTTTTTGGTCACAACTGTCGTTGTCTTGAGAAGAGGGATTTTAAGTTCCCCGTCGACTTAGGCCTTACAATAAAAGTAGTGATTTAGCCGTTTACGATAAGAGGAAGTTGTAAAATCTGAATGTGTAGTATTGATAAATCATTTGATATAATGCCAATGTACAGAATGGAAATAATAATGGCCTTTTGACATAATAAAAAGCTTTAAGCTGATGTTGGAAATGAAAATTGGTTTGAGACCTATAAACAGATCAGGATAGATAAATCGAAGTTGTAACTATGGAGACGGTAACAGGTACGAACTGAGAGAAGTGTACATTGTTACACGGAATAGCCATTTCTCCCCATGTTATCTGCTGGTATCAATATCAAATGTTGATCTAGCGATGGCCGCAACAATCTAACAAATATTTGAGAAGTCTCAGGGGTGTCCACACATGATTAAAGCGGAAATTAAAAATCGCAGCCATAATGCTAGTTGTCATAATTTCGATCTCAATTCATTAGATGACAACACCAAAGCCATTGCGTCTGATTCATTTAGGTTTTGGCATTTAGCCAAGAACGCGTCACCTCGAATGGCGTTGCCATTTTTACTTCCGATGGTATATAAATAATCGTTTAATCAACGCAGAAATTTCATCGCGGAATCGAACGTTTTACAATTCTTTATTCTGTTACTGTAAACGATAAATGTTAAACATTAACTTGAGTTTCACGGTCACGGGTAAAAACACTCGTTTTTATATACATCATTTGATAAACGGTTGACCACCCACTACATAACGATATGATAGTCCATTCAGCATTGTAATTCGCTGACTTGCTTTCAAATTTTCATTAACCTTATTATGGAAACAATCAGCGAAAATAATTATCTAGACCAGGTATGTTACCCTTTCCGCAGTACATGTTAATCCCTAGAAAATACCAAATCAAATAATTACGAATTAAATTCAGGTTAGGATTTGATCTTGTTTGTTTATAATAAACGTCCATAGAGTTCGATGAGTTATGGCTGAAAAAATACTGAAAACCTTTTTCGGTATGTATAACAAGCTTTTAACCACTTGTTTCTATCTTTTTCTTGCTTTCAAATTTCGGAAGGAATTAGAGGTAAATATCCTAATTAAAACCTATACGGTGGCATACGAAATTTCATTTGAATATATCATACAAAATAAGACGAATTGAAAAAGAACTTTTTTCATAAATATGTATGGATATATATTAATATTAGGAAATATTTAGATTTCAAGAGTACGGTTTTCACTTTAAAAGCGGCGACATGAAAAGATATGTATATGCGATTTTCCTTATTTGGTTTTGGTGTGTGGTTTGTTTGGGTTTTTCTTGTGCTTCTTTTCCTTATTTGTATAAAAGGTTTTGAAACTGAAATAACACATTTACACTTACAGTTATCGTCACAATAATAGTCTGTGATAATCTTAAACAGTTTAACCCTTTAAGGTGATAAACTACACGAAGTAAGTAAGCGGTTATTCATTTAAGATCTATTTCTTTTGAGGTAAGCAGAAAGCAGCCTCTGAAGCATGAACTTGGTTTGTTATGACGTTCTGAAGTGAAAAGAACAATCAAACTGTAAATATATTTAAAGTAACAAACCGCGCCCATATTGTTAATGTGAGTAAATTGCGTTCCCAATTGTAAATTGTTAATTGCAGAAGGAAACTGGCTTCCGTCTTGTCTTATCGCAAATGTAGACCTTTGAAATGATAATACCTAGGGTCACTAGTTAATTCCTACAGTTAATGAACAATTGCGTTCATCACAATATCGATGTGGTATAAAGACTTCTGGAAACAATTATTCATGTTGTGAATATATCTTTCTAAAGAGGAAATCCGAGCCCATAGCATTACACTGCCATTATACCTATCTGGAATAAGCATTTACTTGTCTACTATAAGTTAAAAGCGAGCCCAGTGGATATCATCGATCTGTGAATATGGACAATTTATGTGTCTGATCATTATTTCACAATCGGAGTGAAAAATAAGTCTGTGTTCTCATATAGGTTTTCTCAATTGTCTTTATAGGAAAGTTTTGTGTTATTAATTCGTGTTTACCAACCAAACTTAAGTGATAAATTTACTATTTCAGAGAATACGAAATGGAAAGAACAAGGGTGACAGCTTCTTCATCGATCCAGATTTTCCAGCTGAAAATGAATCCATTTTTCGACACAAACCGATCACTAAGACCATTGTGTGGAAAAGACCGAACGTAAGTTTTTAGTTGTGAATAGTAAGTAAGAGTAGGTAGGAAAAAAGTAAACAAACTCCATATTTAAGTTGTTGATATAAGTATTGTATTATATATTTCAAAGTATTTTGGAAATGGCGATTTTAAATGGCAATAACTTGCGCCTAATCCATTTCTGGTATTTTGTTATAAAATACGTTATCACAAAAAGTTGTTAATTTTGACATATGGTCAGTTTTCTTTTCCTGATAGCGTCCTATTGACCTATATCGAAAATTTCATGAGAGTTTATGATTTTTAACTAAATCTAAGATATCATTGCTTAATCAGATATTTTCTGATGTGACTGAAACATTCAATTCCATAATATTTATATACTATTGTATTTTCACTGTTTGTTCTTGTCTTTAAGGAGATTTCTTCGAATGCCGTGTTAGTATCAGACGGCACCAGTAGACATGACATGAAACAAGGAGAACTTAACGACTGCTGGTTCTTGTCTACACTGTCTGCCATTGCTGAAAAACCGCAGCTCATGGACAAGGTGAGGTGACATAATCCTTTATCTATATATAACCAGACAAATTATCAAGCAAGGGAAATTAACCAAGGCAAGAATTCGCAATGTTAACATTTTCTCTAAATGTTCTTTAAATGTTAATGTAGGTCAGACAATTGACATCACTGGTTGGGCTGTATCATTCTCTAGCCCCTTTATAGTTTTTAATGGTTGTAGTCTACTTTCGTGTCTGACGTGAACATCTCCCATGGTAGTCTTATGCTAGAATATCAAAGATACAAATATCATCATTATTCTCCATGAGCGGATTGGAGAGAAACCCTCTTGTTCCACAGGAGTCTGTATTTTAAGTCTTTTTAGTTCATAGGAATAATTTGAGCGAGAAAAATAACTATTTTTATGAAAACGTTGATTGCAAAAAAAAGGGTGATTTTTAATGCATATTTTTAATTTCTATGACAATAGATATTTATTCACCAAACTGATGAACACCTCTAGCGAAACACACTTCAGTTTCGTCATGCTAGGAAAAACCCTGAATATTCTACCAGTTCTACCAGTTTAGCAAGATACGCGTAACGGCCTATTAAACATTTTTACGACCAAGATTAATTCTAGGGAAAACCAAGTTCTGATACTGCATGCTTGTGGCAGGACGATGTAACACAATCGAAGTGAAGTTTTTATTTCAACGTACCATGTCGCTAGAGGGAAACTGATAATTAAACTGTGACATATCTTTAAATGAAGCCTTGTTCTGACGGCTATATTTATCATTTGTCCTGAGCTAACACGATCTCCCACATTAAGGAACTCGATGCAGCAATTAGATTCAAGAACACAAAGAATTTCCACCCTTCATACATATGAATTTACTTTAGCGTTGCGTGTTCGATTAGATTACAGCTATATTATTAAGGTTAACACATGGATGTCAGCATAACGACCGATGCGTCTATCAAACCGTGATCGTACCAGTAACACGGATGCTCATTGGTTATTCTGACGTAAATTTTTTCATGCTTGAATGAAAAAAAATGTATTAATAGTTGCTTCAGTCGATAAACCAGGTATATAAACATCACAGACTAATTCCATCATATTGATCATCAAAGTGAAAAGTTTTATTTTGCTTTCTTGTTTTTATTTTTGTTGTTTGAGAAAGTAAACATTATTGAATTTACTAGTAATATGGCCAATCATATTTTCTTTGTGATTTTTGACTGCATGCAGGTGTGTAGCGCATGTATAATACGGACCTCGTCTCCATTTTCATTGATATCATAAAGCAAACTTCTTTCGTTAATTCAGAATTACTATGGGAAAGTAAGTTAATCGTGAAATTAAAAACCAAGACCAAAATAACAATACCTATTTCCAAAAAAAGCAGCCCATGCCAAAACATTTTTTCAATACATACAAACTGCAATTTATAGTAGTTTAGGAAGTTTTTATATTCAATTCTGTTTAAATTTTGATAATTGCAATTTGTAAACACAAGTTTATAATTTCATTTGGTTATAATCAATATTTAAGTAACCAGTTTTAGAAGCAATAAAAAGAATACCTACACAAAAAGGGAGTGGTATACTTGTTATGTATTTGAATATAGGAATACTATCAGGCCGGTAATGTCCAAACATGGAAGTGCTGCGTATCGTAACTTCTTTTTATCATACTTTTCTCCCTGTTGATTTGCGATCGTCTGGCGCACGAAAGGCGCTAAGGTGATGTACTCTAGCAGGAGTAATTGCGACAGTGACATTAAGGTTACACATTAAAATGATCGAACGCACTTAAGACAAACAGACAAGGAACCGATGATGAGGCATCCGTTGTTAATGACCCTCTCTAGTTAGAGTTCAATTTTTATATTGAAAACATGAAGTAAAAGTTTAAATTGATAATGGAAAGTGCAAAAAAATGAACAAAATGCATAGATATTTAAAGTATTTGTAAATATGAAAGTAGTCAGCATTCCTTAATTTATAAATGATTTTCCCTTCAGGAGATCCATTTTGTCATAAACACTCATATTGTCTGCATACTGTAGCAAATCTGCATCTTTGAAGTATTTGTTAGTAAGTAAGTCCAAAGAACTCGGAGATTTTGGTAAATTCTTTCCGTGGTCTTCATCACTAAGTGTACTAAAAAGTTTTCAAAAATGTCGACATTTAAAGACATTTGAACAAAATCGAAACAGATTAAACTGTTTATATAGAAACACCGAAAAAAGTACAAGGGAAATAAGAACATGTGCGCCACAAAGGTTAGCGTCATCTTCGTCAATGATAGCATTCGCCATGCCATGTTAATCAAGATCAATCTAGGTTTTTTCCCGAAAAAAAAGAAAATAATTCAAATGATAAGAAAACAACTAATTATCACACTATGAAGCTTAAAACTCTTATGCCTTCGGAACGTCTCCTCTTTCATTTTTTGCCAATCTCTTTGATCAAATACCACATCCGTGTTCACTTGTTTTAAGAGGATATCTGTTATGGAGTCACTAACTAATATTTGTACATCTTTTTCGAAAATCTCTAAACAAAAGCGTGTTTGCTTTTGATTTATAAGATATGAAGTTGGTTGGTGTCTTGTTTATCTTTTTAGTATTTGCTGCTTGTTTTCTTTCAGCATTAATGTTGCAAATTCACCTGTGATTACTATTATCATTGTTTCATTTTTTTCAGATAATTCCGAGTGACAATACGTTCGGAACACCGGAGTATGACGGTAGATTCCACTGTCGGTTCTGGCAGTTTGACAAATGGATAGATATTAACATTGACGATAGGTTACCTACTGTCGATGGAGAAATATTGTTTGCTCATTCATCAGATCCCAGCGAGTTCTGGGTATCCCTGGTGGAGAAAGCCTATGCAAAGTACGTATTAATTGATGAAATGAATAAATAAACGAATAAAGTAAAAATGAGAAAAGCGGAAACAAAATATTTCTTTAAGTAATACACATAGAAACAGTGGATAAGAGATATATTGGGTTATTACTAAACATACATCTCCAGAATAAGCAACATCAAAACAAATATGTAGAACTAAAACTATACATGAATCTCGTTTTTAGATGCATCATTACATACAGGTCTTTTATTAAATTAAATTGTTCTTTGAAGTAGTGAGAAGTGATGATTAGTTTTTTATCAGACAAAACGTACTGATTATGACATTGATTTAACATTCTTTAATATATCCTGTCATTCTCTGAAACTGTGTGTTGTTCACACTTAAAATAATTACATAAAAGATAATTGCTTTAGAATTATTTGCCATCGGTTCCCACTTTAAAACATTTTGGCATTTAAAATTCCGTTGTAAATGACATTTTTTCAGAATCTCCTTAATTCTTTTTTTCGGAGTTGGACGTTGGGCTGCAATATTGAATAAAGAATTATTAAAATGTTTTAAAAAAAAAGTATTTGCCTCAAAGATGACATGATAAAATCGGTCATGTTAACTGGCGATTTTACTGAAAACTAAAAGCTAGCATTATAGCCACGTGAGGAATATGACATCAAATGACAATGAATTTTCTAGCTGATTACCGCATGATTAACTGAAAATAGCTGTTAAGGCCGGAGGTAGATATCTATATAGCAGTTGATCAATATTGACTTTTAATTTCAGCTTTTTTTTCTAAATTTTCATTGCTTATATGTTCGAACATTTGATAGTTTTTATCGTATGGAAAGGAATAACTTGTAGTTGGGTGAATGTTTTCTTTTCATCTCTAATCAGTGTTATTTGATAATTTAGTCTCGTGATGTAGTGTGATAATATTATGCGCATGAAGCATTGATGTTGTAAAATAAATGCAAAAAGCTTATTAATGATTGCAGTAGTGAGTTTGTTACGATGTAATTCCAGAGGAAGTTTTTTTATAACTGTTATTGACATAAATGTGATATCAAAAAGATAATCCGGCGATGCTTTCTTACAAAATGGAACTTAAAGAATTATCTTAATGAGAATTCTGATTTTTATATAGGTATATATTGATTGATGATTAAAAGCGATGCCGAAGCATTATTGCTTCATTAGACTTTTTAGGGCGACGATAACAACGTAATGGATATATCACATATATAAGCCTAGGTATGAATAAAAAATTTGAACACAATTTCATGTTCGTTTATTGAGCTAAGGAAATTTAAAGAAGCAACACCCTTCTCTTTTACTGAAATTAAATGCTTTGCAAAAATGTATTTTTGGGCAGCAAAAGTCGAATTATTCAGAAAATGACTCCGAAATAGAAAATAGTTCTTGCTGATTATGTGGGTAATTTTTGGCACTGATAAAGATAGCCTTTCCTTGTGGTAAGTTGATGTACAAAACCAATTATTGACCGATATTGCTGAAACACCATTTGGCAACGACGAATATTATAGGGAAAATGAGAAACTCCGTCATAATATTATTATAAAGCATATATTGAATTACGGCAGCGTTTTGTGAATGAGATCGATGGAATATTGTTCGCTGTAAGTGTGTATTATAGTTGCATTCTCTAGGCTAATGCCCAATTTTACGCCTTTTGTGACAAGTCAAGGGTCAAGTACAGTTCATCAAATTTGATATTATTGGGCATCCTGACAATATGACGAAATTTATATGACTGTGGTGGTTGACCTTTTAAACTGTTCTGTTTACAATTAATGTTTATTTTAGTTGGTATACTTTCATTTCTTTCCAGGTTAAATAAATCCTACGAGGCGCTAGAGTATGGATTTGAAGCCGACGCCTTTACCGATTTGACAGGAGGTCTTGCCGAATGGTACAACCCTACTGACCTCCGAGAACAAGACTTCTATCTTATCCGAGCAGCTTACCAATGCGGGGCTGTGATTGGCTGCCTTAGTGTTGTAAGTATCCTTATGATTGGACGAAAGTGGCACAAGAATGTATCAACATATGAAGTACGAAACAAGTAAATAAATTGTAGAGCCATTACATCAAATACAGTGATGTCTCATACTGTAAAACCATTCATTTTTGCGAAACTCGATTTTCGCGGATTTTTTTTTCTAAAAGAGAAAAAAGATTCCATGGACACTTGATTTTGTAGATAGATTTCATCATGAAAAGCGCCTAACACTTAAATTGTATGCCATATCTTAACAGTTCAATTGTTCGTGGACACCTGGATTCGTGGTGTGCCAATGCAATTAAAAAGAAAATCCCACGAATATGAATCATACACAACGTTCCCATACAATAGATCACAGTTGTTCCACTATCATAAAAAACGTATCACGGTATATTAAGAACCAAGGATACATTGCATGCTGACTGTGGTTAAATAATTCATGATATCACTTCAGAATTATACGACAAGTTTATAACACAGCAGAGAGATATTCACATGATCAGGCGCATGACCGAATATATTTTCATTTCTGACTGATAACCGAAACCCTTGCCGTATAACAAAATACGACGCACTCTCTTTATTTAAGACTAATTATTCATTAATGGCATAATTTCGTTCAGTCACTGCTGATGAAACTGGTATCAGATATTTCATATGACCACAGTTCTGTGATCTTTAGCTTAAAAGATTGTCATTTGTTTGTCGATGTCTCGCATTAAATGGTGTTTATGGCTAAGTTGTGTTAGTCAAATTACTTCTACCGGAACCATCACATCTAAACACCACACGAAAGACCATTATTACATAGATGAACAAGTTTTTTATATACCACATAAATGGAACATAATCAGGTTTCAAAATATATGAAAAAAAACTGTAATACTAAACCCTTTCTTTAAGGACAAGGAAGGGAGGACAGAAAGGGAGAAAAAGGGGATGGTTTCCAATCATTCCTACGTCATCACAGGTGTGGAGGAAATCCCATACCTTGATTCTACAGCCAAACTTATCCGTGTTCGGAATCCCTGGGGGGATACCGAATGGAACGGGGCGTGGTCGGACGGGTGAGTAACGCTCGCGTCTGAAGATCCCAGTTTAGAAACTGTAAGACATAGTCACACAGCTGGCGGAGAATACTTCTATTGTTCCGTGAATGATCCGTCCTATATCTATATCATAATTTCGATTTTTCATCTTATGTGGTAATTAATTCTCAACCATTTTGCACGTTTCTTCTCGTCATTGAATTTCAATTGACAAGACGTCATTAAATTCACCATAAATCACCTGAATTGTCAACCAAGCACGCCTTTTTTTAATTATTCACCTTACCTTGATTTGATTAGTCATTCTTTCGGTGTTTATCCAATTAATTGCCTAGCGTTTTAAAATATCTGACCATTCGATCATTTTTTTTTTAAATTGTCCATCTTTTAATTATGGTACAAAGAAAATATCACTTAGGTTGAACTTTCAATAATACAAAACAGCTTCAGAGTGTGAATATAAAGATCAAAATACACTCATGAATACAAACATGAACAAAGGTATTTATACATAGTTGTAAATTCAAATTTTTAATATAAACAAATAAATAAGAGGCCCATGGGCCTTAACGGTCATTTGACTACAAAACCTTATCCATGGTCGGATGATCTAAAAATGACAAAAATTGAAAACTTACTTTTCCAGATCTGGACACTATTAAAGAGCTATTTAGTAGCAACCTAACCCATATATCAAATCTTCCAATTCTTCAATAAAAATTCCAACACCGCATGATAGTGTCTTGACAAAAGAAAAGGCCCAATGGTCTTAACAGTCACCTGAATTCCATAAACATTGTTTGTGTTGTGTTACATATATCAGACAATTCATCTTGTTAACACAGTTAGTGAAAAAAATATTTCTATATAAGCTTCCAACTTAATGACCATTCGATCATTTTTATAAATTTCAGTAAATGGAGCAATCGACGAAAATTACAATCAATCAATCAATTGATAAATTACCTTTAAACCCTATCTAATTTACTTTCGATAAACCATAGGAGTGATGAATGGGACAGGGTCATAGAAGATATCAAACAAGATCTTGAACTGACCACACAAGACGATGGAGAATTCTGGATGAATTTCAAAGATTTTCGCCGTGAATACTGCAATATGATTATATGTAACCTCTCCCCTGATTTTGATCACGATGGCATCAGTGACAAAGCCGGTAAGGATCGTTTTATTTATTCTAGATATTGTGGATGTTATTTGTTCAACTTTAAGAAATGGTTGTAAACTGTAACTGTAAATTTTGGTTTATATTAAAAGTGGCAATAAAGTCCATGTAAGTATTGTATACGTATTACACGACCGTAGAATACGTCATAAGTATCAGTGGTAAACGTAATTCACAAAAGTTACATATGTAATACTCAACAAATGCATACGTAATGCACGTTTGAAGAATACGTTATACACAATTTGTTCATACTGAATTGGCGTGATGATCTACTTTGGCGTTTTTTATGTCTATATTGAATTTTGTTCTTTGTAACATTGAGTGTTAAAATTGTAAAATATTTCTCATAATAATCGAAAGACATTTGTGGCTCAAACTTTAAAAATCACATAGAGCGGGTTCGGTAATATGTAAATATATAAAATGACACCACCAGGTCAACAAAGCAGAACAGGTTTACGTAGAACATTCAACTTTGTCGTCTTTTGATGTCATCGGAAGACTGTTGTAGACACATTGCTTGATGGCGGATAAAGTTGAATAGATTCAAAGATTTGCTATACACAACAATGGCAATCAATCCTGACTTCTGAAGACGTCAGGTATAAGTGATATGAAAGAAAGATATAACAGAAATCGATATTTATGTACTATATTAAGGTGAAAACAATGATAGGAGGAATCAGTTTCATCAGTACGTTTCAGTGAACAGGACTAATACCAATAATTCATTATCATGTTGTTTCGTACAAAAGCATTGAAGCCGTGTAAACAGGTAAAGAAATAGATCATTGTAAATTACAAGGTTAGCCAACAAAATAAATATCAAAAAATATATTTCATAAAGCCTGAATTAGGATTAACACATTCCAGTATACGAATGACTAGCTACCTGGTTACCATGGTCACCATTGACGTCATCAGTGATGGTCCCGTTAGTCTACAAACACATTCAATGATTCTTCAATTTGAATCGATAATTCCTTTATAACGCACGAACTCGGTGCAAAAGGATGTATTTTAGGAATAAATCATACCTGCCATTTAAAACAAAAAACAAAAAAACGTTGCAATGCTTTTTATTTTGTATGACATTTAGCAAATTCTAACACTGTAGACAACGAATGACGGACAAAGACAGTCAGTTTTTGATCGATCTATAAAATTTTATGTTAGGGACAGATGGGAACGAGTTATGATGAGATCCATGTAATTAGCTACCACGTAATTCGTAAAGCAATGATGAAAATAAAGAGCACCTGAATACAACATTAAATTAAATTATCTTTAAACGTTTGAAATTCCTAATATGCAATTGACAGTTATCAGTATCCTCCTTTAAAACTGTTAAAATGGTCTTGCTATCGATTATCAAAGACCATGACTAGATGTAATTATACCATATAAAGAACACGAGAGAAATTGTAATTGGCTTGTGTACTTAGAGATCCATTAAAAGCTATTTACACTACCACACAGAAAACTGACAACTAGAGTCGTAAGTTAAAGCCTGTTTTTTTGCTCTGATCAATACAAGTTTGGAATCGCATCCAGGACATGAATTCAATAGTCGTATATCAAAAAATAAATGAATATCGACATCATAACTTTATTGCCTATTAATCTCCCTTGTTTACAAAATTTGAATATTTCTGAAACGTTTCTGAAAATTGACAGGCAACATCTTCATTTATCAAATAATACCAGGAAACGGAATGAGTATTATGCGGAAAAACAAAAATACCTTATTTTTAAATCATCTGTGTTTTCAGACACACTGTTTCCGAGAAATGGTTTTGCCTTTTGCTTCTTGCAGTGGTGCTAGGGGCTTTACTTATTGTCAAAATGAATCAGTTTTCATGCAGATATTTTATTTAATTTTTTTTTGTCAGTTGTATAGCCAAAAACGTGATAGGACAAGATTATGAGGTAACTCAAAGTTCTGCAAATAGGATGGCAATGATTGTGTTTTTACATGGCCTTTCGCTTTCGTGTATTTTTTAATAATATTGTTATTTAAACTGATAATATTGATAAATGCGACGTTATAATGTTTTCAGAGTACCAGGTGAGCATCAGAGGATGTTGGAGATCAAATCTCAATGCTGGAGGCTGGCTGGAGTGTGAATCCTTCCACTCAAATCCTCAATATATCATTAACCTTCATCCAGATGGTAAGTGTTCACAGAAACTGTTCTTTTAGAATCAATAATTTATCATTTATCTTCAACAATTACAAGTTTGTAGTGAAATCATTCTTGCTGTATCCCCAATTTCTATAACCTTAATGTATTCATCGAAATTCGTTCAGAAACTTATATTCCCTTAGTCATTTCGATGTAAATTTATCTTGCCCTCGGCGATCCCCCCTCCAAATATATCTTCATTTACAACATTTGTATATTGTCTTTTGCTGTATTGTAAACTAGTTTTTTTGTATTGTTTTAACTCTATTATGAAAAATAATTATAAAATCCATGAACTATCATATGACTACTTCCATTTCGTTTTAACCCAGATATGTATATTTTTGTTTCTGTTTGGCATTGCAACCTCTTTTAATGGTATAATTTCATAGGCAAAATCGTTTAATTATGACCATTCGACGAGTTCATACCTCATCAATAAGTGAAAAACACTAAAGGGACACAGAGAGGTCATGAAAGGATGCCGATTCACTTATTTGATGGTGTTGCCACTTAATCATAGAGGTTGTACATACCAATGTATTGATTCCTGTGTATGGCCTGCAACAAAAAATCGATCTTATCAGCTGCTATCTAAATATGAAAAACACCGACTACCATTTAAGGGGAAATACCTGTATCACGCCTTTTGTGCATTCCTATTGTTAGATGGATAATACCAATAAGGACACAATTAAAGATATACCAGTATCCCTACATGTATGTTTCCATTTTATTTTATGATACTTATTTTGGTAAACCCTACTGTAAATGGTTTATTTGTTTGATTTTCGCATTTTAAGTTTTACAAAAAATCTCGAAGGATTTATTTTGAAATTATGAGAAAGGACAGTGGTTTGTTGATGAAATCTACTTTTCATTTGTCATTCCTATCAACAACCTTTATAGTAATTTAATACATCAAATAAATACATTGTGTGTCTTGATTGTAATTTAATTGATTCTGCCACAAAGGGTAATTCAATCGAAAATCATTTAGGTAATTGACAATTTCATTCAAGTCACTTGAATTTATTTTGCACTTATAGAACAAAAATAATCTCTTTTAATGTACCTCTTTACAGTAGCCCTCGGAAATCATATGTAACACGCCATAGCCTATTGTTTGCAAATTCTACCTGGATAAACCCATTATTTTAAAGACTTCATGTTACTTGCTTATTGTAATTAGATTTGAAGGAGTATTTTCGAAGAGTTTTTATTATAATCAATTATACAATTCAGTTCAATTTCCTTTAATTTTCAGTCAGTGTTCAAAGAAGGTTTAATGGGCGTCTTCCATTAGTTGTCTCCCTTCTCCAGGTCTATCGCCGCCAGGATAAATTAGAAGGAATAGGACTCTATGCAATAGGATTTGAAGTTTTTCAGGTTCGTTAAAATTTTGTAATGGATAATTCATTACGCATTTTATTTGTCAATTATCTGTTTTGATATGTACTGCACCAATGTCATGCACGTAAGGTAAACATGTTATAACGATTCCATGACGTCATAACTAAACGACGTCATACGATTTTTTTTTTTTTCAGCAAAGCAAGTCAAAATTATTTTGCCTTATATGATAGCGTATACGATTCCTCCAATATCTTCTATAGAATATAAATTAACACTTTCTGATACTAGTGTTTCCGTTTCGTTATTAACGCCATGTTAACCGAATCAAATTTCGATGAAATAAGGGTAAAATATGAATCAAAGAAAGGTTTACACAGAGTCTCCTAAAATGTAGAAGGCCAAAAAAACGATATGAAAACAAGGTAAATAACAACAGAACCATCAGGTATACCAACGAGCACAAAACACTACCAACTGTCCAACTTTATATCGCACAAGGAAATAGAATGTGTATATTCTGTACCGCTAGATTTCTTCATCCATAATTCACTGTTTGATCGACAGCTGTTACCGATGTTAACTTTTCACAAGAGATCTGATCAGAAAACGATTTCTTTCTACTACAATGAAATGACAAAATAGAAAATTATCAACGAAAAATAGAAAAACAGTAAAAACAATGAACAAATCATTATCCTTTCAGTTGTTCACTCGTCCGACTGGAGTGCTGAACAAGATGTTCTTTGATAGAACAGATCCACTCATGCCGGAAAATGAGGAAACTTACGCAGAATATCGGGAAACTTCCGGCAGGTTTTTCCTTGATCCGGGACAGTACCTTCTCGTGCCTACGTCACAGCTTCCCAATCAGGATCGAGGCTACCTCCTGCGTCTCTTTACCGTCAGCAAAATGCAATGCTCGTAAGTGGACATCTTCCTATTATAGTAATAAGTTTATATCACATACTGTATAACCTAAAATTTAAGTTGTGGAGAAACATTTGTTGTTTTCGTGATTTATGGAGTTTTGAAAATTTGGTATACTTTTAGATGACATCCACGAAATGTTTTACCCTCAGAAGGATTATAAGGTTTTAACCACAAAAAGAAAGTAATCACAAACATTTTATGTTATACAGTATCATTTTGATGTATCTTAACCTTCTTTTCGCCAATTTTGGTGTTTTACTGTCAAACACTTTTCATTTCAAAGTACATTTATCTTCCTTATTTTCATTTATCAAAGTTCGGGGTGTTGTTGACTTTGATGTATTTTCTCACTGTAACACTTGAGTTCCTCATGAAATATGTCATTGATTTCTAAAATCAACCCTGCAAAATAATTTACAATTGAGTGTTGTTTTGCACTGAAGATATAAACTGTTAATAGAACCAAATATCTTATATTTGGCGTGTATAATGTATACCACTTAATCAACACTGAATTTTTATATGAATTCATGAACGTGAAAAAGACACTTCGAAAAAACGAAATTCGAAAACCTGTGATGGAACTCTTTCTTTGTACTTTAGATTAAACAATTACTATCTGTTATCATTTCAGTGACATTTATACCAATAGCAGCCATTTTTATCACAAATGAACATTTCCATTTAATTATGTTTCATTAACATTAACATCGCGTGTTCTATCGGTGTGTTTCGAAAATTTTATCATATCAGCACATTTACTGCCCACATAGGCATACACAAATGACAGAACCGAGATACAAATGAGTGGGTGGGTGTGAACTAATGGTAAATAATGAGAACGCTTGGCAATTCAGGAGTACTCAATGTCATATACAATATTTATGATTCAGTGTGTCCTTTTCAATTCTGCTAAAAGCATGTTGAAAGAAGATAAATACGATCAGTACGTTCAAAACCAACATACCTTGTATATGATCAAATCGTTCTATTATTAGTTATTCTATTAAACTATGAAGTAAAGAAGATGATAATTTACGATCCTTTTTTCAAATATCGTATTTGATAATATCGCTTAATATCGGTCATTGTTGTTAAAAAATATATGCATGCTCTTAAATCACACTTATGTACAACCAGGAAACAGTATAATTTGTTACGTGAAACAATCATAATGGAATACTGGTTTGGTGTTATGACGTTTTAATTCCCAAGATTAAACTTTTTTGTTGGCAGTTGATTTCGTGGTTACACCTTCGCCACCAAATATAGAAATTACAAGGCTCATTTTCGCGATTTTCGTTCATCCTCGAAAATAATTTTATTGTATATTGAAGAATATTTTCTCAGCATATTTGAAATATTATCGCGTTAATATCCATGTTGTCACTGCTTTGGACACGTATATTCATTGGCTGGTTGCTCGGTATAGCCGTCATGACATTTTTTCTTTCTTTTAACGTGTCCATCTCACCTTTAATGAGTCTGAACATAAAACCTTTAATGAGATCCAGTCACATGTATAAAATGACCAGAAATTATCGACCATTTAACGAAATGCCAAAGTTGAGATCAATTTTGTTAACACCACGATAAAGAGTGATGTACGACTCCAACCCTTTTTACGCTCTATGCCCACCAGGCATCACGGGACGTGCTATAGAAATCAATACAGGTGTGCGCGATAAGACGTCTGCATTCTAACACTGGAATATAAAACCGGCCCTTTACAATCTATTACTTCAGAGTAAGGATATTTTGTCAATTGATACAACAATGATTTAAAAGCTGGTTCATATTCTCATTGAAAAGTGCAATCGATAAGATAAAAGAAAATACCTTCACAAAAAGTAATATTAAAAAATTTCGGTTTTTTTTCAGATGTGTATTTGTCTTTTTTTTTTTTGTTGTTTTTGTTTCCGTTTATTTTATCTTTATTTTTTCGCCTTTAATTAGGAATTTTGTTGTATTTGTTCCTTCAGGTGTTAAAAAGAAGCTCTGAACATTGCATAAAAGACACAGTTCTAAATATCACCTTCTAATACAAATAAAGAGATAGATACAGTAAAGCCAAACAATGGATTTAACTTCACCATACAGCTGTTTCGTCCTTCTAGGATCCTTCAGTGATGATTAAGGCTAAAACATTGAAACCAAGGAAGCGACTGAAGAAAGGTGGTCGAAAGAAAGGTCAAAATCTAGACACGGAAGTATACTAACCCCATAATTCAATGAATTTTGTATTTTTCATACATCAGATAATTTCAGAATCACGTCAAGCATATCTTCATCTTTAATTATAGAATGTCTTATAGACCTACCTGTTTTTGGTCTTTCGCATAGATTTATGCAATAAATGAATATATTCATTTCAGTGATCAGTTGTTTTTTCTGCAAAGTCACAACCAGATTCAAAACAGGTGTCCATATTCTGCTTCGTTATTAATGCTAATTTCAAGTGATGAATATACAGAAAATGAATTTGCATCGACACCGACTAAAGCATGAAATAAAAAACGGACGTTCGCTCAACTAAGGATAACTATAGAACATTTACATACATATATGTATATTTATGAGACAGAAATGAACACATCGCTTTTCGTCATGCACTGCAGCCATGCTGATCTAAAAATTTATAGAAAAAGGAAAAGTCAAAATGATACAAGTATATAAATTGGAAAATATTGCTACCAATGCCGCAAAACCGCTACATTTGCGGTCACCATGTGCGAAGGATGGCGTCCAGGCTGCCAAGCACTTAGCTTGATTGGAATCAATGTTATAACGATCTCATAACCTACGCAAGCAAATCAAAGGCACTGTCATTAGAGACTTCGTTTTCACGTCGGCTGTCCATTTTAAGTATACATATGCATCATTATCTGATACAAATTCCTTCAACAATCAACCATAAATTCGATCAAATCTCAGAACGTATATTGGAAAGACACCAGATGTTTTTAACAAACTCAAAATATGTATTTAACATATATATATGTGTGTGTGTGTGTGTGTGTGTGTGTGTGTGTGTGTGTGTGTGTGTGTTATCAAAATATTAATCCAAGCATTGAGAAATAAATATCTATATGGGAACCACTGAAGAGTACAAGAATAAAACCAGGATTTCCGGAGGTGAAAGTACCTTCTATTTTATTTGACGGCAAAGTTAGTATCAACCCAAATAAGTAATGTCAAATTCAATAAAGCTAGGACAATACACACCTATGAAAGAACGATTAAGATATTTTCAAAATTAAAAAAAAAACATATATATATATTTTTTTTTTTACATTTGTCTGTGAAACAACATTAAAAATGCATTAAAATCTGCATATGTCTTGTTTTGACATGATAGAGTAACTCTCTGATCATAGACCTAAAATGTCACATGAAGTTGATGTAGATTAGATATCCCTATATACGAGATGATGTGTAAAGAACAGACATCAGTTAGGTCGTTGACCTGGAACCGTACATTGTTCCATTATACATCATAGCTTTAGTAAACAGTATCCGCCATGTACTAATTCAAATGTGCTAATGACTGTTTACTTACTGATTACACTGAACAATAAGAGTCTAGACAAACATGTTCCAGTGTTTTATTCATTGCGTTCAATATTCTGGCATATATTTGTTTTCAATTTGGCTGTGACAGATTATTTATCGACACTTAATAGGCATTTGTTATGCATGGAGTATTATTTGACTGGTTTCACCATCTCTCCGCGAGGAACACCTTTTTTTCAGCCATTGTTGTTGCTTTCATTCCACATGTTTTGCTGCCTCCTCATCTCTAGTCGCTGTCATTTTTTCATTTTTTCTCTCCTGTTTCGGATACTGCTGTTACATTTTCATCGCTTTTGTTGCTTCCTCAGGTTCTAGATTATGTTAGACTGTTACTATTTTCTAAATCTTGTCAATATTTGTGTTGTCATGTTCATTCATTTCTGTTGCTGTAGAATTTTCTTTTGTGTTGTTGTTTCCCCAGCTTTTGTTTCCTTTCTTTTTGTTTTGGTATCTTTTCCAGATCTTCATTTGTAACTTCGTTTTGCAATGAAAATTTATACACGTCCGACATGTGATATCATATCCGTATCATCTTGACGAGCGTAATTTGAACGGATCAATACATCGTCACTACAAAATGTGATGTGCACACTAAAAGACTTTTATGGAAATATAACCGAAAATAGATATATTATCATTATTGCTCTGAAATATGTATGCATGTAATAAAAATTAATGGTCATCTGTATATTGTTTGAAAATTAATATCTTCTCATCAAGTCAGGTCAGCAGTTATATGAAGCACTATACATAAATTCCCCAATGTGATTATATATTTTTCAAATTTGATTGCTTACTATCACCACGAGATTTGATCTTAGATGAGACTTGGTCTTAAGAAACGAGCTAGGCAGTTTTAAGAATCAGCGGCCTGTGTTATCGACTGGAAATGTTACCAATATAATATTAGTGCGGTGAAACTTTCTACAGTGACTCTGAATTATACAGGAGACATCATATTGATTTGATGCTTATGCTGGTTTGGTCTCCCGCTGAGGGCCGAATATGGCATCTAGAAGAGAAGTCATAAATCAACACAGTTTGTGCTATTCTATTATGGATCCGGGTGTGGAACTTCAGAACCCAGCAAACAACTACCAATGTCCTGGTTTTATTACAATTGAAAAGTTGTATTTTCAATTATTCAAATTTTCTCGATCACTATCAAAAACTTGATTGCAAAAGGATGTATATTTAATTATATTTATGAAATAGTTCGTACGATTCTCTATTGGGTTTGATTTCAAACCCTCTTTTTTCAAATTTATTCCATTCTTTAAAACAACTGAAAATGGATCACATTGAAAATAGAGCACTTAACAGTAATACAAGTTTACAGGAAGCTGGCATTACAATGCAAGGTCAACCTTAAAAATGTGGTATCCATTTAAAACAACCAAATCAAAAGGTTGTTATGGTTTATATATATAGATTTTTTTTCTTTCATATTTTCTATTTGTATTTTTTTCCTCGATGTGTTGGTTTTTCTTTTGGTGATGGGATTTCAAGTTAATTACGGTGTTGGAATAATTTTTGCTTATTTTACATATTCCCCTTTCATATCGAATTTGGAGTTCCTATATTGCAATGGAAAGCAATAAATAAGTTCTGCTCCATTGGGTCTAATGCTAACTTCGGGTTACAATTTATGAAGCAACAACTAACAATATGAAACCAATCTTTTATGATTATGGTGTTTTCCGTTTATGAGTCTTTACTTCGATATACAACAATGAAGAACGATTAGAATGCTACAAATAGAATGCTATGATTTAAACTATGTCAGTTAAGGGGACCTTAAGTGTCTTTCATTAAAAGAAGTGAGTAGATTGTGTATGGTGGTCAGTACATTGCTGTACGGAATTCAAATAGAAGAACAATTTGTGTCATTTTTTCAGGATGTGTTTTTTATATATGACTGAAATAGTGATCTACTTTTTGTTTTCTTCCAGGCCGCTCGGGAACATCATTGAAGGTACAGAACAGTGGGATTTATAGCGTCCAGATGGTTGGAGTACTGCAATAACTGCGGAATGTAAAGTTAATCTGCTGTTTCATAATTTTTTTAGTGACTTTTTTTTAAAATCGCCTTCACCGACAATTCATTTACACATATTATCAAAGAAAGGAGTGACTTGAAAAGAGAGACATTGTTTGAAATTTTGTTCTTATTAAGTTGCAAGAAAACAACCTGAAATGAAAGCTTTTGTTCTGAATGAGAAATCATTACATTGGAAATGCTGGAAAGTTTTAAGGAAGTGACAGGTATCCTCACATAGCTGTCTATGTAAGTGATCGAAGACAGACAGTGTTAACAGATAAATGAAAAAAGACAGGTGAAAGTACAGTGGCATGTGCCACGGTATTATTAAAGCATCCCAAATAGTCCTGATTGACAGATATGCAAACTTCGGTTCAGAGCGGACTTCTGATCGGATTTGAGATGAATCCGAAATGTGTCTCTTGTCAGTACAGTTATTTTGGTGATTACCTACTCGCGTCCAAATACAATAAGACTGTCTGTGAGTTGAATATCGGCACATTCTTGGAAAATTGCGAGACGTTTTGGGAATTGATATTTTATCCCTGACGCTCTACTGGTAAACACCCTATATTTCATCAGTATGTTTTCCTTCAAATGGTCTGAAGAGCACTCACCTTAATCTAGGAAACGAACCAGAATAATTCAAGTGTTTATAACAGAAGAGGAGCCTGGAGTTCTAACGTGTGTCTTCGGTATATTGATTTGATCCTATGGTAATAGTTCACGATCGGAATGTATCACTTGTCAGATCAAAGACAAAAATGTGAATCTATTTAGTTTTAATGTAAAATAGAAATATGTCTGATTACTAATATATTCACCTTTTCAATTCCAATTATTCCCCATGGGAAAGTTAAATTATAAAGGGGGGAAATCGTTGCAATGATGTACAATCATGATGGTGGTACATTGAAAATGGAGTTGAAATATTAGCATAAGCATTACTACAAAGCAACAATAACTATTTGAAGATATCTTCTGATAATAATTTATGCCATAATAACATAATGGTTTGTAAATAGCCATAGAATGCGTCAATGGTTTTTATATTGTTATTCTATAAATACGTAATTTAGCTCAATTCTAATCACTGGTGTTGAAAATGTTGAAAACGATGGTAGAGGAAGAACTGTGCAGACTTGAATGGAAATTTGTACGTCTGATTATAGGTAAATGACTCGGGTCTTTCCGTCATTCTTACGAATAACGGAAATTCCGAGTGGTTTTATGTATATTTGTGGGGATAAAAATTGTCAATTATTTTCGGTATTATGAAGATAAGTATCGAACAATATATGTTTATACTGGTTATATTAAGTCATTCGATCTCATTAACGAAACCAAGGCATGTCTTTAGAAAGAGGAAAACAAGGGTTGTTATGGTAACCATGAAATGTCATGACGTCATGGTTTGTAGGCATAATTGTATTTTGTTTGAAACGAAAGATCACATCAAATCAGTCATTACAAGTTACGACCATTTTCTTTTGAAGGCAGAAAAGAACACCTATGAGAGTAATTTAAACGCAATGTTTAGGATATGTAATTGTATATATGTAAGTTACTTATGAACTGATTAGTTTAAGCTTGTGTCTTCCACTCCAGTCACAAAACACAAATGTATATATCATTCCTTACTGTATATATAGCATCTGTGAATGTGAAGGAAACAGTACTTTACCAGTTTACAAGAAATACGTTTTTACTTTCGTCTTTTCAAACCTGTTTGTTACACTAAGGTTATTACCATGTCGCCGTATATTTTTGCAGATCTAAATTTTCATACCAAATAATTTTCCAAGAACAAAACGCACCAGGACTGATGTTACTTAGTAAATTTCATTATTGAAAAACGTTTCCAGTGCTTTTTCGCTAATAAAAGGAGGAGGTTAATTATTTATTAAATATATTGATATTGGGGGAAAAAACCTGTTGAAGTTTATCATAAAGAAATTACCGAAATAAATACATTAAATCTGGTTATAACTGAACTATAATTGTGAAATGTATTTTCTTACATAATGTTGATAATCGATAATGCAGGATAATTTGTAAACAAAAAATTGAAGTACTTAATTGCACCAGCTGCTGCTTAAAGGGTACATGGTTAACAGAAAGCGACTAATCATATTCATCAAGTGGTGACACCAGACGTATCAAATCATTGTAAGACGATAAATATTAACAATAATTCGGGTTTTTTTCACTAAATAATGAAATATAGCAGTTTTCTTCATGTCGGAGCTTCAAAACATTGAAATTTTACCTGAACAACCGGCGTGTCGTCAATTGGGTATAAAGTCGAATCTCGCTATCTCGAACTCGGATAACTCGAAGACCCTTTCAATTCGAAGCCTTTCGCCGGCCTCGACCTAATTTTACACAAAACGTTCGAACTCACTTAAAGCGAATACTCGGTTATCTCGAAGTTTTCCATGGTCCCGCCGAGTTCGACTGTATTTCTTTTGTAATTCAATGACTCAAAATGATCAATTCCACGACTGAATTTTTTCACTTTCAAAATACATATTCGCGTGATATGAAATATGTCTCCTTGTCACAATTTTACTGTATTTCTTTATAATCAACATCATTTTTGTGCATGTGTGAAATCAAAATCAAAATTTTTAGTACGCCAAAAGTTATATATTGCTCATATTTGCGTAACATTTGAAATAAAAAAGCCATCAGATTTGTAATTGATGGAAAGCCTTATAGTTGCTTGTTTGTAAATGTACCATAAGATTTATTGATTGTTAATAATATGTATAAAGACTATGCACATCCGTTTATAATTCATGTTATTATCTCTTATATTGACGTTAATACTATCGTTTCATTAGGAAACGATAATAAATGATGTTATAAGATGGTTTAATTCTTAAGGTAATTTTTTTTCTATTCTATTTAAATGCCAATTATATGTCTTCTACGAAGATCTGTAATATATGTGTACCATGAATTGTTTTAAATTGTTGGGGACAACTTTTTTTACTAGGATACAATATCATATCATTTTGATAAAAAAAAATCTTGTGCTTATCAGATTACGTTCATGAGAGTTCATATTTCCTTTAAAAATAGCATTCCTATTTTTAAGAACAAAAATGTTTGCCAAACAATTGGTAACTGTTAGCTGAAATAATTTCGAATCACTTAATTTAGTTTTAAAATGTTTTGCCACACGAGCAATTAACGTTTAACACTTTAATTTTTCAAGAGCGCAGTAGTCCAAGGGAAACTACTTGAATTCAAAATAGTTTGATATGTTTTAACAAATTCAGTTATCTGGCATTATCTTTAATTGTGTAAGTTAATTAAGCTCCTTATTGTCTCCCTCATATATGTTAGAATTACACAAAATCTGGATTAATCACTTGTTTATCAAATATAATGAAAAGCATAAAATGGCCTTGACATAGTTAACATGTATAAACTAAGCGTTCACAGACCCTTACCTTCTTCAGGAATTCATATTTATTTCGACAGCAAGTATTTGATAACGTCGTCTTCTGAACAATACACAACTAAAAAACCACAATAAAATTATTTTGAAGCAAAAATATAAAGTTATTCTATAAAGAGTTGCCCTTAAAAATAACACAAAAATTATCTGTCGTAATTATGTGTGTAACGTTTCGGACCTTCACTACAGGTGTCAGAATCATGTGGATTTCACAAATAAACACAGACGATTATATAGATACAAATCTTAACATTACATGTTATTGATATAAAAACCTCTGCTATGTGTTCACAAACTTATATTGCACCTAGCAACTGATAGTTTGCCACTGAAATAGTATTGAAATGACTAGGGAGCTTTGTTTTTTCCCTTTCATTTGTGTTTTATTTGTTTGTTTTTTCAGAGCTTACGATAGAAAGGTCAATTAGGTGGTAGGTTAATTAATGTATATATTTTTAACGTGAAAAATCCACATGATATATATATATATATATATATAACAATCGATTTTACATACAAAGACAAATAAATACACATATTATATACAACATTACACTCATAATCCACACACACATGTACAAATCTATAAAAATATTATTTCATCAATTAATTAAGGTCATACTATATATAAATCGACGAGAATTTATAGATTGATTGACGCTTACAAGTATACGGTTTTTTTTTAATATCAAATTTATGTATTTCTTTTTTAAATGTTTTCAATATTGATTGCAACAGGGATGGGTTCTTTTATGTAAATAAACGTTTAATATGATTGAAAGACATGGACTTTTTGTTATAATTCTCAGCGTGATAACAAATCTATACGATTTTATACCGTCGTATTTCGCTTTCAATGTAACACAATATATATGAGGATTATTACATTGTTCTCGTGCATTTGAACGTTTGTTTAGTCAATATTTTCTTTTGCCGGACGTCACTTCTGGATCTTAACACTTTTGGCCGAATCACCAATTAGGACGTGATATGTTTGATCTACTTTCATTTATATATCATGTGATACTGTTTATGGCTGAACATGTTGATATAATTTGTCATTCGTACAGTCTGTTATATGTTGGTATCAAAAAAGGAAGAAAAGAAATTATCTAAAACCATCTCATCGACTTCACAAGAAAAGCTTAAAACTCCGGCTTTTCAACAATATTGAATTTCAAATTCGAAATCGACATACACAGGGAAATATGAATTTGTGAAAATCTTGAAAAAATACAAGGAGAATGACACCAATTGTAATTTGAAGGGTAACTATCTTCGGGCTCTTCGACTAAGTCGCCATGTAAATTTTGAACTCTAGGAAGTATTCTCTCTTTCTCAAATGAGAGCAAGGCTGACGAGCCAAACTAACCAGCGAGATCATAGTTACAATATAGAACATGTTACTCTGCCAGCTGTCAACCTCTTTTCCCGAAATCGTAATGATGGAAGCGAGTTCTTGAATAGCATAATTACTACGACGTAAAA